ATGCACGCCGCCCTGGCGGGGCCGCTGCTCGCCGCCCTCCTCGCCACCGCCCGCGCCCGCCCGCAGCCCCCGGACGGAGGACAGTGCCGGCCGCCAGGATCGGTGAGCGAGCGCCTGCCCGGCCACTCTCCCGGCCGCCCAGCCACTCCAACCCGCGGGGACGAGGGCTGCTGGTGGTGGGGCGGAGGGGTCCCTGCCTTCCGCACCCACCTCAGCCCACCCGCTCCATCTCCGCTCACCGGGCGCTGCTGCCTCGGGCGCCCTTCCCCGGCTCCTGCCTCCCGCCCGGCTCCAGCTCCGTGCGGAGAGCCGAGATGGGGCGCTCCCTCTCCAGCTCCTTCTCCACACGCTGACGCTCTCGGGCTCTCCTCGACTTTCGGTCCTGGTCCTGCTTGGACGTTTCCTCCCTGTGCCCCTTTGACTCGCTTCTTTCTTACTTTGTCCTTGTCTCTACCCTTCTGCTTGCTCTCTGCCCACTTCTGACTCTGTTTCTACCATTCCTTGCCCTTCTCTGTTCTGACTTCCATCAGACCTTCCCTCTCTCCCATTCCCACTCTGTCCCCCTCGCAGGCTTCCCTCTCCCCTGTCCTCCCACTCTAACCTAAGGCAAACTTTCTCCCTGGTGCTGGTTCCCTCCTCCCTCTCCCTCTCCAGCCCAGTCCCCAGCACCCAATCTCCCAACTGTCCCCATTTCACAAAAAGGGGGAAGATTCCAGAGGAGAGGAAAAGGAAGTGCCAGGGCATGCTGGCCTAATATCTCCTTGGGGGTTGAATAATTACTGGTTCTCTTAATTTTCCTTCTCAACTAAGAATCCCTTGATTTCTCTCAGTCTCCCTCCCTCAAAGTGTAAATGAATGCATTGAAAATAACACTTATTTGGAGGCCAGGGAACAGGAAAAGGTTTTGTAGGGTCCTCACTCACTGCCGGCTTAGCAGGGAGTTAGTTGACCTTGGGCAAGGTGCACCTCCAGCGTCCTGATTTCTGCGGGAGCGGGGAGGTCGGTGGCCAGCTGGGAGCTCAGAGCGAGTCGAGCTGCAATATGCCGGCATTCACGATTTTTGGTTGTTAGTAAAATAAGGTACTGTTCCCCCACCCACCCCATCACACACTTTTCATTTGTGCTGGAATCAGGCGGAAAAATTTTGAGTTGACCTCGAGCTTGCAAGTGGTCAGTGGCCCGTCCAGGGGCTTCTCTGGTTGGAAAAAGACTTTGCCTGAGAGAAATGATAGTCTCTTTCTCATGCCCCTTAAGCCCTGGTCCTATGCTAGACCTGGAGAAAGGACCCCTGTGTCCATGCCCCTCCTCCCCCCTACAAACGCTCCTCCTCAGAGCTTCGGTCATAGAAGACGACAGAGGTGGGGTTAGAGGCCAGGTACAGCGTTTTAGGGGAGGAGCCTGAAGCCCCAGAGTGTGTACCTTTCTTGGGACTAATTCCGGGGAATCTTCCCCTCCCGAACCAGGGCCCTGAGGCCGTATTTAACCTGCAGCTTTTCAAGCCCTTTCTCATCTGTGGCAGAGCTAGTAGCTGGCCCCCCAGACCTGCCCTCCAACAAGAGCGCCATGTCCACCCCGGTGAATGGGAAGTAGCTGTTTAAATAGGTGTGCTATTTTTAATAGGTGTTCTGCTTTCAAAGTGCTCTTGGCATGTATCTTCTAATGGCTGGATTTAAAAGTTATATGACTTCCTCCCTTCTTGCCAGAGCAGGACTCTTGCTCCTCCCTCTCCCCCACCGTCCGCACGAAACACCACCGGTGAAGGTTTGGCTTGGCCGAGCTTGAATATTCTCAGGTGCTGTGGAGTCCGTCCCTGGCACTCGCAGGGCAAGCTAATCCTAACGAGAGCGTCCTTCATTGCCTACTGCCTCTGTGCCTGGCACTGCTCTTAGGGCTTCCTTACATATACTGTGTCTTTTCCTCCTCCCCTGACGTGGCTGCTCTCACCCCCATTTCACAGATGGGGAAACTGAGTCTGTGGGCAGCAGAACAGTGTGCTTAAGATCATCCAGCTACGGCAGGGCAAAGGCAGGACTTGAATGCGGGTCCTTCAGCTTCCCAAGTCGTCGCTCTTGCCCCAACCCCACGTAGGCCTCTGCCTCCCACCCCCAGCCCCACCCGCCTCTCCCCGGGTTGCCCCCCGTCTCCCCTGCTGCCTTCAGCCTCACTGCTGGCCTTCTCTCCACCTGCAGCAGGCGGAGCTGAACTCCTTCCTGTGGACGATTCGGCGCGAGCCCCCCGCCTACCTGTTTGGCACCATCCACGTGCCGTACACCCGCGTGTGGGACTTCATCCCGGACAACTCCAAGGCAGCCTTCCAGGCCAGCGCCCGTGTCTACTTCGAGCTGGACCTGACAGACCCCTACACCGTCTCGGCGCTGGCCAGCTGCCAGCTTCTCCCGCACGGCGAGAACCTGCAGGACGTGCTGCCTCAGGACCTCTACTGGCGCCTGAAGCGCCACCTGGACTACGTGAAGCTGATGATGCCCTCGTGGATGACGCCCGCGCAGCGGGGCAAGGGGCTCTACGCCGACTACCTGTTCAACGCCATCGCGGGCAACTGGGAGCGCAAGAGGCCCGTGTGGGTGATGCTCATGGTGAACTCGCTCACGGAGACGGACGTGCGCTCCCGAGGCGTGCCTGTGCTGGATCTCTACCTGGCCCAGCAGGCCGAGAAGATGAAGAAGAGCACCGGGGCCGTGGAGCGGGTGGAGGAGCAGTGCCACCCACTTAATGGGCTCAACTTCTCCCAGGTAGGCGCTTGGCTGAACCAGGCAGCCCCTTTGTCCTCCTTTCCGATTGCCTTCCTCCTTCTGTAGCCGGCGCCCTGGCCGTCTTCCAACGGGAGAGGCTCTTTCGGCCTTGGAGGCGGCTCTCTGGCTGCGTTAGTGGTGGGTTCGGGGCCAAACTGGCATGTACTAGAATTCGGGGTGAGAGTTGGGGTGTTTGCTTCTAGCTCAGTGGTGCTACCTGTTGGGGATAGGCACGCCCCACTTGCTGTGCTTGCCTGAGCGGAAAGAATTTTCCTGGGAGCATCAGAGTGAGGAAAACAAAAAGAGTGAGTTGCAAGTTTGTGTCCAGCTTCCCCGAGCCGGAGGCTGTCCCGAGGCTGCTATGTGGGCCCAGCTGGGCAGCAGCGTGTATGTACAGAGGATGCATAGAGGGAGTCGTGGTTCCTGCGGCTTTGGGGGCAGGGGAGGTGCCGTGGACCTGGTGTCGATGTGGCTCTGGCTGGCTGCTGAAGGCTAAGCACTGCTGAATTGCCCCAGCCTTGCATGGCTCTAGGCGACCCTCGGACTGCCTTCCTAGGCCTGGAGAAAGTCAACAAGGATAGTTTTGGGGTTAATAATTTCAGAGCAGTGTGTTCACTTAAAGGTTGACAGTTCTGATTTCTGGACCTCAAGAGAGGGGGCAGGGAGCAGGGAGGGGCTTCGGAGGTTTAAAGTCTCTGGCTACGCGAGGCCTGATCCAGCAAAATGTCATTAAAAGCCCCATCTCCATGGGCAGAGGTCACTTGCAACTCACTGGCCCCAAACTCAACTCTGAGACCCTGGGAACAATGAGTTCACATCTGTGCCTTGAGAACAGGCTGTCAATCTGGAGATGGGGGCTCCTGCAAGGAGGCACCAAAACAGCTTGGGCTGATGCCCTGGGTGAGGTGCGGCCCCCGAGACGTGCTTCTTCGTTCGGGAGACAGCCTCATAAGTTGGCCAGGCTAGAAGCTCTACCACTGGGACCAGACCTGCTTGCCGCTCCCAGGATGTTGCAGACTCTTCCCCAGGGAAACAGCGGCAGAAACCGATCCCCCTTTGGAGATCTTCTGGCCTTTGTTTTTCCAGGGGAAATGCAATATCGTCCCCGGGGAGGTAAGAAGCCAGATTGATTTGCCGGCCAAATGAAAGGCGGGTTTGTCGGTTCTCCTGCTGGCTCTCCCATAATTGTGGAGTCCTTACCCAGAGGACCCCGGTGGCAGGAATATTGGGGCAGTTAGTCACGCCCCGCAGGGTTCTGACTCCGCCTGACTCCTTCTCCACGGGGGAAAATCCTGTGCATTCTCTGGCCCGGGCGCTGAATCCTCTGAACATACCGGCTTTCTCCCTCTGAAGTGACTTTTCCCTTGCCAGCCTCAGGAGCTGATATTATCTGTGTCGGGCTCCCCAGTGCTCACCGCCCATCTCATTTTGGAGGCAGGTTTGTGGGAGGCCTCTCTGTTCAGAGACCTCACGTCTGGCCTCGATATCTTTTTTAGGCCGGGGAGGTGGGGCATCCGACATCACTGTCTGCACCCTCTTTGTACCAACCACAGAGGAATCCGAGGAGAGCTGGAGGGAGCACAGAAACCCTCTGGTCAAAGAGCCCCTGGCTTTAATCTGTCTCTCTTAAAACAACAAAACTATCTTTCTTCGGTGTCTGGAAGGAAACACTGCTGTTCAACCAAATGACGGCTTTGGTAGGTTGAAAACATTTGCTGGAAAGTGTGTGAAGTTATGTTTTAGGAAAAGTTCCTGAGAGCCATTTATCGGCCAGCAAGGAGCCCGCTGACAGTCTCCAAAGCCCATGTTTGAAGATCAAACGGACTCAAATCTCTGGTTTCAAAAATGGGCCCACCCCATCACCAGCCTGGGCCCGCTCTTAAAATTGTTCTCGGGTCTAGCTCCTCAAGAGAGCTGCAGGAAGCAAGGCCGGAACAAAAGAAAACAGGACTCCTCTTGGTTCCCTAATCTGCACACCCTTCACCACCTGCCAGAGCGTCTGACCCCGCCAATTTGTCCTGTTATCATTTTGGGGCGAGGTGCTGAAATCTCTCCTCCATCCCTGTGGGCAGCTGTGGGCTAACTGGGAAGGGAGAGATTCCAGAGCTCGGGCAGATGGGGGTGTTTAGGGTCCTCAACCCCAAAGTCAGAAATGAGCAGCCTTCTCCGTAAAATTGTATGCGCGCGTGCACAGTTTGATATGAACATCTGTGATGCATTATTGTACCGAAATATCTGTTAAGTGCATCAGATTTTTATTTTTTCTTTCCTCTCAGCATTACTGTTATTGCAAAATATTTGGTGCGGGCAAACAATGAGAGAGGAAGGCGGGAAAAAGAAACCTTAAAAGAGAGAACCTTTTTGTTAAAAGCTGGGGTTTTAGTTTGAATTTTAGTATTTCTCAAATTTTTATATTTTCTTCTGGGCAGAAATACCACATTTTTCCTTGCTAAGTGGAGAAAGAAAGTGTACATTTTAGGATTCCATAGGTGGGAGGAACCACTGAAAAAGTTTCTGGTCTCTGATTTCAGTATAAACTGAGAGTGCTGGACCCAGCATCAACATGGGTTTGCAGTGTGACCTTGGGCAAGTCAGTTCCCTTCTCTCGGCCTGGTTTTTCCTGTCTGTGAGATGAGATGCCAGGATTAGGTCATTATTCAAGCCCCTTCCAGTCCTGACATTCCATGGGACAGTTATAATCAATTCCACCTGCCGGGCATCCTACACGAAGGAGGCATGCTTTTCCATTTTGTTGGATGCTCTCTCAGGTGAGCACTCAGAAAGGCTGGATGACTTGCCCAAGGTCACGTGGCTAAAGGAACAGAGATCAGTCTACCTGGCCCTAAATGAAGCCTTCCTGCTTCCTGCCGCCCCATGCCCACCATGTATTTCATGTTCTTCAGTGATTCTTCCTTCAGTCCTTTCTGCTGTTTCTTTCTCCCCTTTAGGGCTCAAGTGCTTAACATATTACTTCTTGGAGCATTTCTACTTACGGAGAAAGTATTTTGTTTGGCTGTGGGGCTGGAGTGAGGATGGTGAAGGCCCTGGTGTGTTAGCTCACATAGTGGCTGAGAGATAGCAGACTTGCTTCTAGGTTTCAGTCCCTGCTCTGGCTCTCAAGCCAATGACTCATGTAGAACTTCATGTTGCCATCTGTAAAATGGGGCAGTGGTGACCAGCCTTTCACAATCGAGCAGGTTTTGTGAGGCTATGAGAAGACACTGCTTGTGGGAGGTGATAGAGCATGTAAAATGACTACCTTGATGTAGGCCCTGTGCTTGGAAGACAGTTTGGGCGGGGCTCCAGGACAGAAGAGGAAGGCCACATGGGAAGCCTCATCTCTGTCCTGTTGGTACCTTCTCCATCAGCCATATCCACTGTCCATCCTTTGTAGAACAGAGCAATGCTGGAGTGGGGTGGTGGTGGCCCCTGCCCTCGGGGACCTGGGGATGCCTGAGCCTTGAGTCCAGATCTTGTGACAGTCTTGGGACCTGCAGATTTCAATCGGCTCTGTCGGCTGCCTCCAGAGACTGGCACCGGCTGCCACTAACTAGCGGGGCTGATCAGGAGATGTCCTTCTCCCTCTAGGGGGCCTCAGTCGTCCCCGCCCGGAACAGTGGACGCACTGGAAGAGAATGCTTCCAAACCCCGTACTTCTCCAGGCATGATACAGCAAGGACCCTGTCATTCTGTACTTTGCCGTGTTGTAACAGACACGCCCACGTTACCCACCCAATGTGTATAAAGCCTGAGCGCTCGGGCACGGCGGCCAAGGGCTTCCAAAATGTTCGTAAAATTCTTCAGCCCCCTCACTAGGAAGTTAGAAACCACAAAACCATCATTGATTGGGCTCTGTCTCCACACAGGGCCCTGCATTAAACCCCGTAAGTACATCCTCTAATCCTCACAGAGATGTGATAAGTCATATCATCATGTCTCTTTTACAGACAATAAATGGGGGCTGTGCTTACACAGCAAAGGCCGGTGGGCTCAGGATTCCAGCTCAGGTGTGTCTGATGCTAGAGCCCAAGCTTTTCAGGCATCTGAAAGATGAGTTCATTTTTGTTTTTAGTAGTCAAATGGCATTATCTGGTGACCTGTGTGTGTGTGTGTGTGTGTGTGTGTGTGTGTGTGTGTTGGAGTTGGGGGAGATCATCATTTTTTTGCCAAAAAATGAAATAAAATATGATAGAGATCATTGAAAAGTGCCAAAATTGATTTTTCCCCTTGGCTTATAAATTGCATCTGAAGGTGATTCTAAAATAGGAGTTCCCAAAGACATTCTGGGCATGAGTTGCTTCCTTGGAAGGAATCCCTAGCTTTCCAAGGGACCATTGTGAAGATGTGCCCCTAACACTGGCTAAGCGAGCACAGTTGAATAAAGAAGAGTTTCCCTATAGTCAGAGTGCCTGTATTTATATCCTGGGGCCAGCACGTATTATTAGGTGCTCAACAAATATTTGGGGAATGAATGAATGAATGAATGAATGGTCAGAAACCATGATATGACCAACCCTGCTTCCCTTCTGCCATCCTACACTATGGAATGAATGAATGGAGACCGTATAAGCCACAGTGAAGAACCTCCTCCTTGAACTTGAATAGGTCCGTGCATTCCTACAGGGACACAAAATGTTGAAATCATCAAGTGGGTAGGTCACATACAAAGCAGGCTCTAGCCCTGACCTCATTCCTACCTTGCCTGTGACCTTGGGCTAGTCCTTTCCCTCTCTGGGCCTCGGTAGCTCCCTCTGTCCCTCAGCTGTTGGCTGGATAATTTCCAGGGTTGGCCCAGTTCTGATTCCTCCAGTGCTCATCTCTGGTCCCCTTATCTTGAAGGCCTGGGGCCACCCCGAGGTTTTGAGCCTGGGCGGCTCTGACAGTCTAATCTTCGGCAGGCCACTGCTGATACCTAATTATCTGGAAGCCTTCTGGTTCCAGTGGGTGATCCTGCTGCCTCCCGCTGCCAGTCTGCGGAGCAGAGAGCCCAGCCTGCCGTGGCACAGCCCCTGGACACCTGCCCAGCCTTGGAGCCTCCCCTTCACTGGGGCTCCTCTCCCTCACTC